GCGAAATGAAATATCTGGGTTTTTTAAGTGACCTTGTCTAACAGGTTAAGCACATATCTCAAATTTGATGGTAGAGAGTCAGGCTCATGCTGTATCTTAATAGACAGTTATATTATTTACTATTATCATCATTATCATATACCAACTTTACCACTTACTGTGTCACCTGTGGCTATTTAAATTTAATTAAAATTAAACTAAATTTTCAGTTACTTAGTCACAATAGCCTCCTTTCAAGTGTTCAATAGTCAAAAGTGTCTAGTGGCTAGTGTATTGTACAGAACATATTAGAGCATCTCCATCATTGCAGAAAGTTCTATTGGACAGCACTAAGATATATAATTAGAATAATATATTCCTCTGAGAGTTTTTATTTTATTAAAAGCTATTAGTTTTGTAGACCTTTTGCTATTGTTTTTATTTTTATTTTTAATTTTTTTAATGCCTATAGCACCTGGTATTCCTAGGTGGTCTTCCATCCAAGTACTAACCAGGCCCAACCCTGCTTAGCTTCTGAGATCAGACGGGATCGGGCACGTTCAGGGTAGCATGGCTGTAGACCTCACTTAGTATTTCTAATAAGGCTCATTGAATATTGTAGTGGGCATACCATCCCTTCAGAAAATATAATGCCAGGTTATTATTAGTATAATGAAAACCTCACCTCCACTGTTGTGTTATGTCCTAGAGAAAGTTGAGGACTTTTATTCCAAAGTGCTTATCAATGAAAGCAATTCCACGGGGGCCCAAGAAATATGGTCTGATATATAGCTTTCTAATGGCATAGTTTAGCCCAAGGATAAGGCCTATGATATCTATGATGAATGGATGTTCTGTATATTAGATATTCTCTAAATTATTCCTTACAAGCAACACTTGTTTTCAACAGGAACTTTGCTAAGAGCCAGGCTGCAGAAATACAGGTTATATTCTTCGTCAGGGGCTTACGGTTTACAAATGCCTGAGAGAAGTATTCAGCGTACACTACTATGCAAATCTAGCTTTTCACTGAGATGGTTAGAAGGCATGAATTCAGAATTATATATAATCATATCTGTCTTTATATGCTGTACCTTTTCTTTTGAGTGACGTGTCACCTTTCTTCCCTTTTCCTTCCTGAAGAGATTCCTTCTTACCATGCAGGGATTCTAAACAAAATCCAACATATAAATATTATTGGTGATTTTCTTCAATAATCTGGGCTATATGATTTGTAAGCAATCAAATACTATTTCTCACAGATAAACCGTTACATCTGTGAACCGCATAAAATGACTCAGGCCTTCACTGTGAATTAAAATTCATCTGAAGACAGACTATGGTTAGAAATTTCTTGAATGATAGCCTTGATAGTACTATTCTATTCTGTCACAGTAAGTTTAATATCAACATTTCATGGTGGATTTGATTATAAACTCTTTAATGCAACAGAGCTGCAGAATTTTAAGTTAGTCATCAGACCATTTGAAGCATGTGGCTCTATTTGGATTTATTTCAAGTGAATGATCCTTGTACAATAAGACTGGATCTGTAACAAGAATGATGCCAAAACACCTTGAAGAAGAGTTAAATAACCACATTACTTTGATACTGTGCATCCTTGAACTTCTTTTGACCACATACTTGGTTGCCTTCTGACTTTACATATCCATTTTGCGTTGAATGTAACTTGCAATGCAAAGGATAGATTGGGTATATTCATCTTAGATTCCCTGAATTCTAGTTCAAAAATATATTTGAAGGGCGAAAATGGGAAACTGATGACCTTGGAGGTCAATAAGATGTCCCAAATAATAAACCAGTTCCTTGAAAAATTTCACTACTTCTTGCATTATTCACTAAACAGTTTCAATCATTTTCCTTCCTTTGTCCTGAGCTACATTTTTTGTTGTTGTTGTTGTTGTTTAGCAGATGGACGAATATATGAGACAATATAAATGCCTGTGATGGAGAGACCCTATCTGAACTATTCTTGTATTTAAAATTGATAGTTATAAGAAAGTGTAAAAGATGCATAGTACATATCCTTACATTTAAATATATCTGACAAAATTCCATAGAAATAAGATAAGTGCAAGACGTAGAGAAGGATTAACTTTAAAACTTTAACTTCTAGAAAGAAAACATCCAAATAGTTGACCACCAAACACATAAATAAACAAATAACCAAACATTTGAATGCATTGCTTTAAAAAAAATAAACTTAATAATAATAATATTAAAAGTCTAGATAAGCTGCTAGTTCCTTTCATAACAATATACTGGGTAACCAATAACTTAACTAGCTCTAAACTTAAGCACAAGGCAACCAAGAAAAGAAGATAAAAATAGAGATATCTAAGATACTGAATTTATAATGTATCGAGGGCAAGTCTAATTTCTGCTGGGAGCAGCATGTACTTGGCCGGCTTTTATTTTCAATCAGTTACAAAATATATTCTGACATTTGGAAGTGGATTTGATCCTGAATTCTTTAGAACATAACTGTGAAGTTTTGCAAATTTAATCCCAAGTGTATTTGAAACAGAGATAAAATGCAGAATCATGTACAATGTAGAACTATATTTGGACAAAATGACTGTTAATACTCAGTGTCCTATGCCTCCTTTTTTACCTCATTTCCGTAATTCTTTTTTTTTTTTAGTAAATAATTCCTCTTTTCTTTTCCCCTAAAGGAGATTGTAATTGGGTGTTTGAGCTGGGCATGTTCAAAGGCCTTGGGCTTTCAGTTCTAAAATGTTCTCTTTTGAAAAATTTGTAAGTATTTATATACAAATAAACAAATGTGCTGGAAATTGCCCTCCCTAAACTCGTTTATCCAAGCTTCCCTGAACTGTAGAGGCAGCACAGCCTGTTTCAATGCCCCATCAATGCTCCAAAGCACTGAGATCTTCCAATATGCATCCCTGTTGGAAAGCAGTAATCGGGCCTCTGGGGATTGACACTGCCATGCATTTTTTCCACTTGAAATTATTTATTTATTTCTGTACTTATTTATTTATTTATACGTCATATGTATATTGAATTGTGTGTTCCCCACCCAAAGTTAAATTTTCTTCTGTCACCAAAAATTGTACCCCCTTAACCCTTATTCAACTCCCCATTTCCCCCTTTCCTCTGGTAACCACTAACCCACTGTTCGTGTCCATGAATCTCTGTTTGTCATTTTTTTTGTTGCTTTCAATTTTATATCCCACATACGAGTGAAATCATATGGTTCTCAACTTTTTCTGTCTGACTTATTTTGCTTAGCATGGTAATCTCGAGATCCATCCATATTGTCACAAATGACAGTATTTCATCTTTTCTCATGGCTGAGTAATATTCCATTGTATGTATGTACCACAGCTTCTTTATCCAATCATCTATTGAAGGACATTTTGGTTATTTCCATGTCTTGGCCACTGTGAATAATGCTGCTATGAACATCGGATGCATATATCTTTGTGGATGTTTTCAAGTTTTTTGGATAAATACCCAGAAGAGGGATTCCTGGGTCATATAGTAATTCTTTCTTAGTTTTTTGAAAAACCTCCATACTGTTTTCCATAGTGGCTATACATTCCTATCAGTTGTGTTTGAGGGTTCCTTTTCTCCCACAACCTCTCCAACACTTGTTATTATTTGTCCTGTTGACGATAGCCTTTCTAACAGGTGGGAGGTGGTACCTCATTGTAGTTTTGATTTGAGTTTCCCTAATAGCTAGTGAAGTTGAGCATCTTTTCATATGTCTGTTGTCAGCTTGTAGGTCTTCTTGGGAGAAGTGTCTGTTCGGGTTCTCCACTTGTTTTTTAATTGGCTTGCTTGTTTTTTGTTGTTGTTGTTGTTGTTGAGTTGTATGAGTTTCTTATATATTTTGGATATTAGGCCCTTATCGAAGGTGTTGTTTGCAAATATCTTCTCCCATTTGGATGGTTGCCTCTTTGTCTGTTGAGGATTTCTTTTGCTGTGCAGAAGCTTTTAAATTTGATATAGTCTCCTTCCACACATTTTTAAAAATCCTGCCCTTGGTGGAAAAAAAAAAGACAGATACAACCACTTTTTGAAGCAACAATAGCTTTATTATTCCTCCAGTGCACAGTATTCAAAAACACAATTTTACATTCACAAGAAAACTTCAGAAACTTAAAGACTGAACTGTGTTACAACCAGAAACACCAGAGATTGGTTTGAAGGGATGGCCTGGGTACAAAGATGCCCCTAATTGAGAGCAGGCGAGGGGAAGAAGTGAGGAGAGAGCCGCGGCCACAGGTTAAAGGCCGGTTTTGGATAACGGCAGGCTCACTTGATATAAAATATAGAATCATGTACAATGTAGAACTATATTTGGACAAAATGACTGTTAGTACTCAGTCGTTCCTAGCTCTAAAAGTCATTTTAAAGACTTCCATTTTTCCTCCAGACCTCTGAATTGTTTTTTTTTTTTTTTTAAACTCCTAGTGAGGTCATGGGAAAGGGTGTATATTTAATTCGCGGCTTTGTGTTCTATTGGTCACCTGATAAGACGAGTATTTCTTTAGAGTTTGTGAATTTTGCCTTTTGGTAAGCCCCATTTTATTGGATGGAATACAATGGTCTTTAATAGACCATAACATATGTTACTAACAAATTTATTTGCCTAATATACATAAATAAATGTTAAAATATTCAGACCCGTCTCAAATCTCCATGAAGCAGGAAGATAATGAAGTTTAGAAATAGGATCATGACACAATACCAAGAATACCTGGGTAGACTCGTGTAACTGCACAGCCAGCCTCTTATTAAGCTGCAACAAGAAACTAGAGCCACGTTTCGTTTCGTATACACAGCACAAAACCTGAAAATGACATTCTACCAATATCACACATTTCAACAATTAAGCACTTTACTTTTGTCTTTACTTTCACTTCTACTGCTTAACTTAATGGTTAAGAATCTAGAAAGAACTTAAGCTAAAAAATATTCTCTATACAAGCTCTTTATCCATACATATTATATATCATAAATATATGGTTATCAAGATGTCAGGTTTCTGTCCTTGTATAATAACATAGCACTGAAGTTTAGTTACATGTGCATTCTAGTCTCTGATGAGTGCTGTTGATTTGTTCCCTTATTCATGGGGACAACTGGCTATGCTAACTCATTTTCTTAAGATGTTCTCACTCTACATAAAGCTCTACAGTTCAGCAAACAGATAAATCATGCTTGAAATCGTTCTCTTGATCTGCTCTACACATTCTTTCTGGTTATTCCCTGTGTCTTTCCTCTTCTCATCTGTGGTCTTATTCTAATCAGTAGATCTGAGTGTGAGGACTTCACAGATTCCCCCTACACAGTAAAGTACCTGGGCTTTGTGACAGCCATGCTTTTAGCTACTAAGGACTTTTCTACTTTCACCTGAATGTAGACCTTGGTTTCATATGATTGAGGCTGCTCAAAGTCTGTATCTAGATACATGGACTGCTACTATATTTTATAATGATTTTCTGAGTGAAAATAAGAAACTGACAAACAGGATTTATAAATTATTCTGTCAATCACCTGCTGGTGGTTTTCCTTTTGCAGTAGGAGATTTTGAGTGTTCACGCTGAGGATGGGTTTCCTTCTCTTTTTCTGGTTCAGGAAGGGGAGGGGTAGGGGGAGGAGGCTCAGCCATGGAAACTTCTTCTTTTTTCTCAGCTTCCTTTTCTTCTAATTTCTTTTTAACTTTAAAAGGATGATAAGAAAGAATTTTTATTAGGGACTTCACACACCATTTCACTTGAGCTAAAATAAACTACCTAAATTAATATAAATTGTTTTTATTAATTTAAGGCTAAATTCATGTTTTAGGGTTCTACTTTAAGTTATCCGATCCTTAAGAGTTTGAGCCTCTCTGGTTAGTAAGAAATGCCATTCCCCTTGCTTCTGATGGTGGTGGGGATGGTGATGGGGATGGTGTATGTGTGAGTCTGTGTGTGCGTGAGTCTGTGTGTGTGTGAGTCTGTGTGTCTGTGTGCATGTAGCACACAGACAAGCTTGTTGAGGGGGCACCAAATGTAAAAGCAGCAACTTAGAAGTAGCTAATATAGTGGAATAGAAAAACAAAGGATTATTTCAAAATTCCCAATGGAAAAACAAGGTGAAAAAATGTAAAGAAAAGGTGAAGAGCAATGTGATAGAAGAGGTAGGGTTGGGTTGGTGCCGAAATATTATGGGAAAGAAATGTACATCACCAATTTGAATGAATAATTAGATGTAAAGCACTTGTACTAATACACAGTTGTTTTAACCATTCATTCATGTCACAACTATTTATTGATCCTGAATTGTGCCACAACAATGAAGTAAGACTATTACTACTAGTAGTACTTCATTGTACTACCACTGCTACTACTACTAATAATACAAACAACAGTAAGCACATTTCTGGTTGCCAGAGATACAACAGTAAAACAAAAAAGAGAAAAAACACTGAAGCTTGTAGTCCAGTGGTGGGAGGCAAACCACTGAACATGATGAATTAAGTTAATTTAAAAAAGGTATTGGAAGATGGTAAGTGCTATAGGGAAAATAAATAGAACGGAGTACAGGGGATCAGGAGTGCCGTGTGGTGACTGAGTAGGATAGGATCACTGAGGAGGTAGTGTTTGAGCAAAGACTTGAAGAAAGTCAAGGAGTGATCCTTGTGGAAATCTGATGGAAGAGTGTTTCAGGCAGAGGAGACAGTTAGCCCAGGGCCTTAAGGGACAAGGCATGGCTAGTTTGTATTTTTCCAGGTTTCTGTTATTGTTAAGACCCTTTGCCTCTCATGATACGAGTTCACCTTTCCTAGCACACTGCCCTGCCTTTCCTGATCTTCATGCCCTCCATGCTGGAAATGTCTACAACTGTACTGAGTGAACCACTGGCAATGAATCCCTACACTCTTCTATGGCTATTTCTTTTTATACACCTTTCTTTTGCCCTTAGATTATTCTTTTCAATTCAGCAGAAGTTTCATTCTATTAGATGTTTCTCAAAGTGGAAATTAACTTTTTTTTTTGGATTATAAAGTAATACATAATTATTGTTTTCAAAAATCCAACAATTTAGACAAATAAGTAGAATAGGAAATTGCCTATTAAGTAAGTCTCCTTGCCCTTCTCCTTCCCCTGTCATCAAGTACTGCACAGACCGCCAGATTCTTTTCTGTGTGTGTGTATGTGTGTCTGTATATATATTTAACACATAGTTCAAAGTGTGTCTACACTTTTAAAAACAAAAACTTGACTATTTTATATATAACCTACTTTTACCTACTTAACATTATATTATGGTCATTTTTTTTTTTTTCACATCAGAGTATACATGAGCGTACCACATTTTTATTATTATTATTATTATTTGAGTTAGGGTGTTTGTTAATACAGAGTACTAAGCAGGTAAATGTTTATTGTTTTAATGTTAAAATATTTGTTAAGTAATGAACTGACTGGATGTAACTCTAAGTGACAGCTGAGTCTGTTAATGTGATCAGTGATTAGAATGTGAAGATCTTTAGGAAAATGTTTAAATGAGCCCGAGAGCTGGGAAAAACACATTGATTCTAACCTATAGATGTTGGAAGCTACAGCTTAGAATCTGTTTGGTGTTGCCTCCCAACCAAGACTGTAGGATTCCTGTGGGCGCTTCCTTCTGTCTCTCAGCCTAATTTTATAACACTGAAGTAACACGTTAAGCATCTTAAATAATATATGGATTGGTTTTTACTTTGTTTCTGAAAAGTAGACTCTTAGATTTAGGAGCTTATCTTTCTAAATATGATCTCCTAGATCCTCATGACTTGTGGCTTATACCTATGTGTTATTTTGGTGTCACTTAACTGATACATTGTGGCAGTTAGGTCACAAATCTAGTGATGGAGACAGCTTGCTGCGAAGGCAATTTTAGAATCCTTGTGATCATCGACCATTTTTTCTTATACTAAGAAATTGCAGTTGCCCATATAATTAGGGGCGATTGATTTAAAAAAAAGGGGAAATATTTATTTCTCGAATCATTTCTCAAGGGCAAAATTACAATTGCAATCGGTCATTGGCAGAGTATGAACTTCAGAGCTCTTTCACTAAGAAATCCCAACAATACTGCAAAAAGTTAATAGGCAATGACTATTGGTTAGATGAAGAAGGAAGTAGGTCAGGATGGTTCAATTTGAGTGGGACATATCCCAGAAGCAGGCTTGCAAATAACTAGTTAATAATCAGTAGATTCATACCAATGCAGGAAGATTGGGGGAAATAAACAGCCTAGCATTTCTATTCTAAAAGGAGAATTCACTTGCTGTTTGCTTATAAGGCTGGAATTCACAGATCAAAATATTTATTTACCCTTCTCTATGACATCCTTAATTTTAACTCTGCTATTTTTTTTTTACATGAAAACAATGCTTTCAGCTAGATGACCTCTTTTGATTAAGTTAAATTAAAACAAGGATAAATCTTTTATTTAGAAACATTTGCAGCAGAAAGCTAAAATCAGTAGTAGAAGACGCTTATAGATACTATGATCCAAATAGAAGAGAGAACTTTGCAAAAACACTTTCACTTCCTCCTAAATTCATTAAATCTGCACATTTTAGTTACATAAGCTCAACATCATAAAGAAATGTAATTACCTTTATTTTCCTTTTTCATTATTTCAGTCATAAATATTTCTTTTACTTTCTGGCATAAAGACTCTTGATCTACTTCAGCATTGACTTTTATCAAAATATCTTCTGGTTCTGTAAACCATTTTTCCAATAAAGGCCAGTTGTCCAAGAAACCTATAATTCTACAAAATCAAAATATTATATAAATATCACATGCTGATTTAAATATTTAAGTAATATTAAGCATGACTTATCTGACAATGAAAATATATGCTGCCAATTAGGTTAAATCTGTAAGAGTAACTTTAAGGGATCTATAGGCAATGGAAGAATATTTGCTTTAAGAAAAAAATAATGCCATCAAGCTATATTTTTTAAGATATATGAAAGAGTAAAAGAGGATTTGAAAATGGCATTTCAGAAAACTTTTAGTGTAGATTCAGTTCTCTAAGAGAAAATCTAAGGAAACATCACCTATGCTCATAGAAGAACTGAAAACATTTTTGATGGCAGCTGCAGCCTGAGCCGCCCAGATTATCTATCTTTTTCTTAGAGATAGAAATTGAAGAGATCTTTGAATAGGTGTAGATGGTTCAGACTTATTTGCTTTACTCAAATATATTCTTGGAATAATTCTTAAAACTTTCCTGTCTTCCCTGAGAGATAACAGGCTTAATGTAGCTCAAATAACTCTTCCCTGGCTTCCTCCATATTTTTAGACTAATCAAGGTTTTATACAATTGTCTAACTTTTCTTTTCCAATGAGCAAATTGCACACAACCAAAAGAATAGTTTTTTTAAGCTTAACTTCATTTTAGCAAAACAGAAGTTGTTTTAGAACTATATTTTGTAGTATGATGCCTGGCTCTTTGAAATTCCATGATCTTCATTGGCATTTGCAGAAGGAGGGCTGAATTCGGATTTCACATAATGAAACTGTAAACTCATGTAACCACAAAGGGAAGCACTGCCTGATTTAATTCTTTCCTTCTCAGATTATGATGACCTGTGCTATGAAAGCAAGCACATAATATTTTACTTTATACCAAAGCTGGTCAGTTTTGTAAAAAACTGAATGTTAGGAAATATATCTTATTCCTAGATCTGATGATTCCAAAGTGATTGTTAGTCTGTACAAAGGACAAGAAGCAGGACATTGAATTTTAAACTGACCTATGCTGTATCTGGTCTCTTAAATTCTGGTCCTCATCCACATCTTGGCTTGAGGCGGCTACACGTTGACAGATAGCTTTATGAGGAGTTTCCGTTGAAAATGTGTCAGCTATAATATGAAAATTACTTAATTAGATAATTTGCAAAAACAGTCACAGTTGCAGAAGCACTGTTAAAATGCACTGATGCAAGAAACTCAAAGAGATATGGTTCAGCCTTTGGTTCCAAATTACTTAGAATGTTTATTAAGATATTGAAAAAGCATAGTTTTGGGATCAAAATTTAAATTTTCTTTGGAAATTGGAGAAAATGAAGTAAAATACAACATTAAGTAGGAGTTGAAGTTTCAATGTAGAGGAACTCAGGATTAATTATGAATAGATGAGAATTAAAAAATAATAGGTCATCATGAATAAGAAACGAGTAAACAATTAGAAAATCACTACTGGGGTGAACATGAAGTCAAATATGCATAAAATTATTTGTCAATATTATTGTTACAATACATTAAAGTCATTTATCTTCCTTTCTAGACTTCATTATTTGATCTTTCTCTGTAGAATAAATACAAAGAAATAGACCCCAAGAGACCAAAAACAATAACCAAAACAATTTCAGCAGCTCTGACTAAGTCTTATTCAGGATTAGTGGTATGAAGTCCAGAATACTCATGAACTTAGAATAAATGGAAAATCATAATAAGAAAACAATGTCTAGAACTAGATTTTAAAAAATTAGAATTACTCAGTCAATGAAAAAGAACATCGAAGAGTAAATGACTCGTGTTCAGGAAAATGAAAGACCCTCACGGGATATAGCAAACAATTCTTCTATATTCATGCCAAAAAAAAAAAGTAAATGGATTTAGAATACAGAATAATGCTTTTAGGCTATTTATAAAACTCAGAGATAGCTGACATCAGAATGGGTGATTGAAGAAAATCATGGGAGCTCTTCTCAGGAGAGGCACATTCTCACGGTCACTTTCTCCTCCTATTTGTCAAGGGCTTCGGCGCATGGATAAGCATTCCTCTCTTCCTGACCCCGCCCAGGCATTGGTCCCTTCCCTTTCTCTCCCCTTCCAGCACTCACTACTGCGGCCGCATCCTGGATTTTGTGGTCACTTTGAATGGCTTCATCCTGCAAACTAAGTGACTTATACTCTTATTCTTTGTCTATCCGGCACTCCTATAGAGCTGATAAATCTCTCTAACATCATCTAGTTCCTAAATATCCTTTTCTCCAGGTAACCAGCATTATCCTGACTTCATTTTGTTTTATGACAAATCTGAATTGCATGATTGGACATTTCAAGTTCTCCCCCTCACTTAATAACTTCAATTTCTGTGACTTAGACAATATTCATCTCCCTTTCCAAGGCTTACGCTTACACTGGTAGACATCTTTGAAGAAAAATACACAACTCTGTGACTTGTAACCTCACTAATGGAGAGCTAGAGTGAGAGTAAGCACTAAACAAATAAATACCGTTGCCATGGCTCTTTCTTTCAGAGACAAATCTCTTGAGAGTTATCTCCACCCACACTCTCTGCCTCCTCACCTCCCATTCATGCCTCAAGCCCGGGTACTCCATTCTTCCCAACTCCTTTGAAAGAACTCTCATTCTGGGCACCAAAATGTCAAGGCCAGCGAATGTGTTTCAGTCCTTACCTTATTCTATTTCTCTATTGCATTTATAGGTAAAATCTGGCACAGGATTCTTAAATACTTTTATGATGCCATTTTTATATTCACAAAAAAAAAGAAACTTGTGAGGTAAGATTGAAATTCTATAATAGGTCCCAAATTGCAGAGTTCATAAATGGCAGAGATTTGATTCCAGCCAATCTGACTCCAGGCTCTAGACTTTTTAATTTTTAAGGTGTTTATTAAATTATACCTGCCAAAAAGAATGCATATACAAATATACAGCTCAAAGACCTCACAATCTAAAAATAGCACCCAGATCAAGAAATAAACATTCAGACCTGGAAGCTTCCTCTTCTTTCTTTCCAGTCACTATTAGTCACAAAGGTTAAGTATCCAGGGCTTGCACTCAAAATCTCTCTGTACCTCTCACTATACTATGAATAGAGTTGCTCTTTCCCACACTGACTGATGGCCTGAGGCACAGGCTGGGAACCCAGGTGTCCTCTACTCTTCCATTCTGACATGCTCTTACTCCTACATTGGCTGTTCCCTTCCTTAGGTCTCCCTGGTCTCCTGCCTGTTGGCTTTGAGTCTGGTCCAGTCCTCTCTGCCTAGCCCTGTCTGGACCAATATTCAGCCTTCGAGCCCACTTGGCTTTGGCTGTAGGCTGCTTCTCTGCAATGCTGTCTTCAGGTTCCTCCAAGGACCCCAAGCACTGAAGGACAGCATGCTGCCCCTGACCCTAGCAACTGGGCTCCCCCACCATAACCCTGGCCTCAGGACCCCAGACCCCACTGGTCTGGGAGAGGGTAATATAACACTCTCATTTTGAAAATCTGTCCTCCCTTTGCTGATAAGATGCTGCTCTCCCTGGCTTTCTTTCTTTTTCTAGCTGCTGCTTCTAAACACCTTCTTCCTTTGTTCTCCCCATTAAATTCTCATGTTTTCTTGGGCATCATCCTGGATTTCTTTTAAAATATAATTTTCTTTCTAGATGATTTCTCCTACCCTCAAATCCTTACCTTTAGGGCACGCTTCCTTCCTGACACCTAGACCTATTTATAGTACTGTTCTCTAATATCTTAGCTTAAAAGTCCCACAGGCACTTTGAGCTCAACCTGCCCCTAAAGGACTCGATGTGTTTCTTTCCATATTCTCTAAGCGAATGGTATCAACTCCACCATGTGAGGACTTCAGCCAACTGATACCTGCTTCTCAGAGTTAACACACAATTCAAGGGAATAATGTTACCAGATCCTTGCTTGCAGCACAGATATGGTTTATGACCTTCGCTAGGTGACCCATCAAGGTGTACCAGACAGTTCAAAGAAGCACCTCCATGCATGCAAGTCTCATAAAGTGCAGCACTGTGCCGGGGAGCTGCCCATTTGATGGGAGGGTTCAGTGAGATCTTTGCAAGTTGGCCTGGACGTTTCCACTTGTTCCAGTGTTGGCCTGCCGTGCTGAGCAGTGGCAGTCAAAGCTGGAGGCAACTGTGCTCTGCTAGATAATTCTTTGGAAGGCTAAAAAGGAATCTTTATTATCTACTTATAATTGGGAAAATTCACAGATTCGGTCAAGGAACAAATAAACAAAGGGCTTTGACTTGTAAACAAAAATATCAAAACGAAAAAGAGAAAAGAGCTGTCCAGCTTACCCATGGTGTCAATCACGCGACCCAGTGAAGAATTATCTGAAATATCTAATAACATGACAAAATCAAACACAGCAGGAGGAAGAGGCACTGCTTTGGCAGCCGAAGGATCAACAGCCAACGTGGATATCTGTGCTTTCTTTTCCTCCAGTTCTACGGGGCTTCTGTCGCAGCCTGTGAGAGCTTCCTCCAGAAGCTTTGCTTGGTTTAATGTCATTGGAAAACCATCGAGGATCCAGCTTTGATCCACAGGTATCTGACTGAGTTGAAAATGGACAAATCATTAACGTTTTGATAGACACAAGTAGTTTTGGAAATAATGCAATGAATCCTGCCTTTATCTTTCTTTAAATTCCACGATAATCTCTTTCCACATAAATTTTATTACTTGAGAGCTAAAATTAGGTTGACTAATGCACCACAATTATTCCCTTTGTTACAATCCTTCTGTGGCTGCCTCCTGCCCTCCAAGTCTACTCAGGAGGACACAACGTGCTATTTTAAACTAACTGGACACGACTTATTTACCTATTGCATCTTTTCTCTCACGACTTTGAACCACTTACTTCAAACAAACTGATCTTTGCACTCTTAAATGAGCATGAATTGCATTCTCTAGCTTGTGTGTTCATAGGTAGTTTCTCTTTTGGACCCGTTTCCTCATCTATACTCTACACATTGTGGGATAACATACTTCACAGGGTGGTTGTGAGGATGAATTGAAATGATGCATTTTAAGAACCCAGCACAGAGCTTAGCACATGGTGGATATTCACATCGCTCACCTGGAGAACCCTTCTCATGCCATCCAGTGCATGATCGGAATGCCTCTGGCTCTCATTCACTTCACCATACAACTGCTACTTACTTTATTTCTCAACTTAGAAAAATTCAAGTGAGTCTTATTTATCTCAATTAAATTCTGATTTGCTGTAGGGTAAGGACCATTTCTTGGGGGTTTTGCCCTCAGTGCAGCATCCTCTACAGAGAATGGGTGCTCTGAGGATTATTATTTTAGTTCTTTAAATTGGAAAACAATGTGAAAAGGGCATACACTTCAGCTTTGCTAGTCTGAACCCCTAAATGATGCAAAATTGAGATTCTGGTGTTTGGATTAAAAGTTGAGATTTTGTTTCTTTCTCCACTGGAACTCATATTAAACAACAGAATCCCCTTTCTAAAGGTTTACAAGTCTGCTGTGGTGCCTGCATGTGATCCTTCCGACACATGGCAAGGAAGGAGGGGAAAAACTGAACTTCAGAGAGGTTTCATTACTTGTTGCAAAACTGCACATGACCCCAAATCCAGTGATGCTTGCACAGTTTCAGGCTGTATTCACATCACTGCCTCTACTTCCCCCACTGAGCTATAAAGAGCAAGACAAGACTACAGTTCTGCTTTTATAAGTTTTCCAGAGCTTGGGAAAGTCTTCTGCATTAGAAAGGATTTGTTGGTTCGCAGGCCTAAGATGGAGAAGTTTCTTGAGCACCTCGCCAGGGCTGGGTGACCTCTTCTCCCACCACAGTCGGAGGAGCTGCTTCAGAGCAAGGAGGAGATCAGGGTCATACTTGTTCAGCTGTAGTGTGAGGACACCAGGCGATGGGGAGTGACGAGGCCTGGGGTGTGGCCCCGGCTACGCTACGGACGTGACTGGATTGCCAGACTGAGCTCCCATGGGCCTTTCTTTCCTCATTGAAAAAGGATGGATTTGGACTAGATGAAAGGACTCCACATGGATGACAGCCCTCTGAAGGTGCTTTGGGGAAATGGGATGGTGGTGGGAGGGTAGTGAAGTTCTGAGGTGATGAGTAGGCTCCAGCTCCACTGATACCACAGCCGAAATCTGTTGTAGAGCTGATGTTTTTCATATTCAATCTTTTTTTGAACAAGACGCCCCATGGGTAAAACATATGTTATGCCAATTCGGAGAAATGTTACAACTAGGAGAACAAGATCCCTTCCAGCTCAGCGATGTGTTCAAGGAGCAAACATTCGAAGACACATCACGACTGAGAGGCAACTTAAATCTTTAATGAGGTCTCAAGAAAACACTAAAGGGTAAGTCCATTCCAGATGCATCATGAGATTTCCTTAGAACCTCCTCTCCTCCCCTCTTTGGCCTCACTGTTTCAACACCACAGAGCACAGCTGCCCTAATCCTATTCCTCACCCACTCCCACTCCAAGCTCCCCCAAACTCTCCCACGGCAGCCTTGACTCTTTTTCCCATTCTGCCACGCCTCATCTCTTCATTATATGGATCGACTGAGCCTCTAATGGCTTCTTTTAATTTCTCCTTTTTCTGTATTACAAAGGAGGGCCAAGGAGAATCCTTCATCCTTAGAAAGGAAGAAGAGAGAGATTACGAATAGCCTATTTTGACATTTTCTTTATTTCCCATCACTTATCACCTCTGTGCTATGCACATAAATTACTTCTTGCCTATGCAACTCTACTTTCTCACTGCCTTTAGACCCATCACTGTCCAACCTTTGCATCCCTGGGTTCACTCCCTCTTCCTGAAACACAAAACGAGAAAGTACGTTGGCCTGTGAACACACAGTTAGGGTCTCTCCCACCATAACCTGCCCCTTGGCTTTTCCAAGCAGGTTCTGATTTCTCCTTGAATTCCCCACATGGAATAGAAATTGACCTGCATTCACACCTGAGTGAAAAAAGTCAGGGATGGTAAAGGGGGAAGCAAAATATAGGCATGTAAATCACAAACTATATCTTGATCATGCTGTATGTTTTCTTATATAGATAAGTAGTATTCATTAGACATTAAAAATAAAAATATTCCTATGTTATTCTGTACATACCTCTATCTGATAGAGGACATAGTAAATAGATTCAAAAGAAGAACACATACTTAATAGCGTTCACCATGATGCTAACTAGCAACGTGTCAGGAATGCTCTTTCCTTTCTTCAGTAACTTTTCTGATTTTGCACCAAGCCGAGCACGCACAGTGAGCTGCGAAAATAAGCAATGAATGGTAGAGTACAGCTAATTTAAAAGCCAGGTTCTAAATATTTGGAGGGGGAAAAAAAAAAAAACAAACATTAAATGGTCATGCTCTCTGGTGAAGACACTGATCGTTTGTCACAATTCTGGAGTCAGGCAAGCATTTAAGGAAACCGTGTATGCAGATTTTGAGGTTCCTTCTCTGTGGGTTCCCTCTCTTCCGAGATCTTTAGTTTTCAGCTGTCCTGGCATCCTCTAATACCTTAGATAAAAAAGATGGAGGCTTTCTGCTTGAGATCTAGCAATTCAGCGCCATGCAGATGGGGCATGCCTCTAGGGTAACCTGTAAAAGCATGGCTCCTGCCCAGTGATGCTTCATTCAACAGTCACTCAGATCCCATAGATATTCTGCCTGGTTTTTGTTGCTTGTTTGCTGCTTTGCTTTTTTTTGCTCCCTGCTTTTGGTCCCCAGATAGTAAGCTTTTCTATTTTGTCCAGCGTTAAAACGTTCTCTGTAGAAGGGCTAGTCCAACAAAGGTGCCCTCCCTGCATGGACAGGAACGTCTCTAGCGCCTATTCTTAACTCAGCTACCAGAGCTGAGCCTTTTATAAGTTAAATGACATTACATCGCTACTCAAAACCCTGCAAGGATTTCCCCTTTTACTCCAAATGTCCCAATCATTGGCTCTAAGGCCCCGGCTGACCTGGCTCTTTTCCTTTCCTGTGCTCCTCGCTAAGCTTACCCCTTACTCCTCTGTCCCCTGCTGTGGCCGAGCACCTCTCTGCCTTGTGGTTGTCATCCAGCTCCTCTCGCCACCTGAAGTGTTTTCTCAGATCCACTTGGCAGACTCTCTCGATCTGCTTTCCATCTTCTTAAATCTCGCTTTCTCAAGAAGGCCTACTCCATGTAAGTCACCAAACTTCCCTCTTTCCCATGGCCCGACCCCCTGAACACCCTTATTCTGGTCTAAGGCACTTCTTCTATTCTCCTGGCATCATCATCACCTAATAGATGATTTAATTTATTTAATTATGTGATTATGGTTTATCATCTGTCTTCCTCTTTTAAAACGTAAACTTCATAAGGTCCAGGAACCCTGTCTTTTTTATTCGGTGATATATCTCAACTCATTACCACAGTGTATAGAACAAAGTATGCCCTTTGAATTGAAATGAATATGAAATTTGGGCATTTGGTAACTCAATATATGTAAATATAAAAAATAAACTTAGCTTTCCTGTTAATTTGTATTTCAAATATACAGACTAAAAATTATAAGGCCGCCTTCATCACTTTCTCTAAACCCATTTCCCTCTCCATCAGTCATTATGCTTATAATTTGGTATATATCTTTCCAAATTTTTTTCTATCTGTAAACAGTTTTGAAATCTAAAATATTACAAAATTGTTTGTCATGATGAAATACATAATAAAAGTAATCAAATGTAATAAAAATAAAGTAAATAAAATGCTACTTAATTAATATTCTAGTTGATGACAAAATAGAATATTATCTATTTGATGACAAAAAATGTTTCCATTTATAGTAAAGCAACACTGTATATGGAAATATCAGTTTCCACTGAAATGACAATGATAAATATGCAGGATATTAATAACATATTCTGCAGAGTCACCAAAGGGCTAAGGAT